TGCTCAGCAGCCTCATGGGCAGCGACGAGGAGGGTACGGAGGCCGAGCCGGACGGCCTCTCCATCGAGCTCGACTGATGGGGGGGGGGGGGCCCTGGCAGCCACGACCCGCGGGCCGCGAATCCGGCCACGGAGGCGGCACGAACCGAGGTGACGGCGGTGGCGGCGGTGGCGGCGGGGGAGTGAGGGGGGGGAGCAACGTGGCGGCAACGGCGCGACGCAGACGAAAAACTAAACCAAATAATGCGGAACGTGGCGACGCACGGCGGTGGCGCACGAGCGACGGGGCGATGCTGAGAAACGCGACGCCTACGACCCAGGACGAACGCGGTGGCGGCTTGGCAGTGCCGCACGGCGGACGTGGCAGCTGGGGGGGGGGGGGCGAGGAGAGCGATGGGCGAACCTCACAACGGGATGAGAAGAGACGCTGCATTGTAACAGACGTCGCGGCCTGCCTGGGAGGGGAAGCGTGCTGCAGCAGCCTCCCTCTCCTCCTCTTTCTCCTCCTCCTCCTCCTCCTCCGCAGCACCGGTCCTGCTCGCTGCTGGAAGCGGCACCATCGTGGGCGAAGTTCCGTGGGTGGCGCTTGCCCGCACGTTCGTTACCGGTTGCTTGCCGATGGGGCCCACGCATCCTGCTATTTTATTTGAGGTCGCCAGCCCCTGCTGGTGCCGGACGCTGGGCATGTGGCACATGGGCTTTTTTTTTTTGGCGATGTCATTTAACGTCAACGGGGAGAAACGTCGGTGTTTTAAATTGGAGGAGAGAAGAGGAGAGCGCTGCTGCATTGAGGGATGTTGCACTCGGCTTGGGTCTCTGTGCGTCGGACACAGCTGAGGACAGTGACGGTGTTGGTGGAGCGGCGACTGCCTCTCCTGAAATGTTATGCTGTATCACCCTCCCCCCCCACTTCCTCCATCAGTGACACTACGACCTCCAGCAGACACCCATCACTAGCGCCTCGGGTCAGCCACCTCCATCCGCATCACTACCACCTACCACGAGATGCCTGTCACTATCGCCTCCAAACATCCCACCATTTTGCCACCCATTTTAAACGGAGCGACATCTCCCTTGTCGGCGCCAGGGCGCGCTTTAGATCTGACGCAGCCCTGTTAGGGCCCCTCACAAATTGCCTCTTCTTCCGCACGATGGCTTGGTGCGCGCTTGTTTAGTGAGGAGAGAAACACCCTCTCATGTTGTGTCGCCAAAGTTCTCTGTTAAAAAAGAGCATTAGCTGTTATATAGATTTTTTGAGGTGGTGGGGGGATGGGTGCAGTGAAAGTGGGTGGTGTTTATTATCTCTGATCAAAACTGTGAGGATGAAAGTTTTGCTGGCTGACGAGAAATGTAGTCCTCATTCACGGCGGCCCTCTCTCGCAGACTCCAATTCCCGACGCTAAATGAGCGTCGCTTGCTGAGCGAGGGCTGGGAAACGGATAAACGTGTACAATTTACGAACCCTGGCCCACGGACGGGAGCTGAGAAACAATTTTGCCACCAGCAGCACTTGCCGCTCTTGTAGTCGTAATGTAACGCCGAATCGGCGTTAAGGCATTTGGATGGTGCGCGTAAAGCGTCGATTATCTACGATTCGCGTGTGTTCTATGCGATTTGTTCTTGGAAAATTCTGCAGCTTCTAAAAGATTCTACACGCACCACGAAGGCAAAAACTAACAAAAAATATGAAATTGTGTTAATCAAATTTCGACCCTGGATCATGACAACTCGAATTTTGAATGCTGTGAAGCGTGACATCGATATCTGGTGGGGCTGAGATAGGGATCCTGTATTCTTTTATCAGCATGTCCTAAGTGATGGATATTGCTGGAGTGTTTTAGAATGCCTGTGTAGCTCATAGTTTGCGAGAGCATTTTTATTAATTACTTTCTCCAATTCGTTTTCCTCGAAAATTTATGGGGCGTTTTTGACGAGGGAATCGATGCAGGTTTTGACGGAAGGACCGGCGTGATAAGCCTACGATTACTAGGCACTTGTAACGGCGAAAAGTCAGAAAAAACGACTGAAAATGTAACTACAAATGGATGGCATTGATTTCCCATATTTATTTTGAATCGCCAACTTTGTTAAGTGCGCACTGCCTTAGAATGGATGCTTATCAGTCGTGGGGGTGGTTTTTTTTTACCATACTTCATGTTGTCCACTGCAGGTTGGCGAAGGGGAAAGGCCCAAGACCGGGAATCAAACGCTTTTAGTCGCTGGATTCGGAGTGCAGTGCGTACATACATCGCCACGTCATCGTTCCATCCCTTCGTTACAGTAGGCTGTCTTAATTTGAGCCCACTTCAGCTACCGCTCTTCGATAACGCACCATTTCAAATCCGAGATTTAATCGATCGCTACGAAGAGTTTGTTAGATCCAGTGGTGTTTGGTAAAAAAAAAACAGCCAGCCTGTTCATGTTGGCAAATTCCTAATAATCGTAATGGGCCACGTGTTTGTCCATGTGTGTTAGAACCTGCACTTGCCATAAGTGGCACGGCTCCTTTCTGTAATGTGTGTGGTGCGACTGAGATAGAGACTCAGTAAGGATTAAAATATGGCGAGTCTGTGGTAATGACATTAAAAAGAAAATTTAAAACCCTTTCATGTTTGTGCGAGTCCTGCATGCTTTGAGAGAGTGGTTCGTTGGCTGTTGTTTTTGATGTTCAAGCGAGTTTCTGTTTTGGGCAAAACAAATCGCGCGACGGCATTGTGCATCGTCACGCTTGTCGCTTGAAATCAAATCTTCGCGCGACAAATTTGGATACGAAACTTTTTTTTTTATCTGGGCCCAGCTGGATGTATGTTCCTTGTCGGGATGCAATCCCAATGCCGTGCGTTCTCTCAGATTTGTAAATGTGGCCGATTTATTTTTCAACTTTAAATCCCTGCTGTGCGTTGAGGCCTGCCTGGATCGTGAGGCAGATCGTATGAAATCTGTACCGTTTTCTGGTTCCCATACGTAATTAAGTCTTCATCATCATCGTCGATATTTTTTCTGTTATCTATCACAGTTGCCATCCCATCATTGTCACCAGTTATTGCACAATCATCGCTGTCGAAGTTGATGCCATCGCCTCCATGTTTTAATCCGCAGCTTCAATAATGTCACGTCAAAAGTTTCCACCGTCATCGTATACTGTACGGGACATTGATATTTTATGAATCATCACGAAGGGTTTAATCATGATTCGATGAATATCGATTCTTGAGCCGGAGGCACTCGTGTACGATGTTCTAAGAACCGATATCGGACTTAATGGTGCAAATGACGCGGCCACTAGAGGCCGCATCAGTCGCCGTAATGTTGAAAAAAAAATCAAATCGGTTGAATATTGATAGCCCTACATCAATGGCATAGTCTGTACCAACATCACTATCATTGCCATCTCGTTATCAATATTTGCATTCTGACCACTTGCGGTTGTCACGATCATCCCGCCGTTATTGCCGCTTGCACCTTCCTCTCGGACATTGTGCACGTTGTGGAACAGAAGCCAGGGGCGATTCTAGGATACATAATGCAGGTTTCAAAAATGTCTCGTTAAACCCGCCACCACCCGACACGGCCAATCAGTAACGTCTGTCACGTTAACAGAACATGCCAATTCGTTACTGGTACAGCAACATCGGTGTGTTGGAGAGCCAAGCCACAACATTTACGATCCGAGTACGACGTTTCGCCAGCAATTACAACTGCCTTCATCAGGCGACAGCCAGGTTTGTATTATGGATGATATTGGTCGCGAAATCCGCCGTGTTAAACTGATTCTGGGATGCACCGCGGGAGGGTGGAGCGATCGCAACGGCTTGCGCAGGCCTTTATCCAGCAGTGGATTGAGCATGGGCGATGGTGACAGGAGAGTAAGGAAAGACGCGGCGCCTAGTGGCGTGGTACTATAAGGGCAGAATAAATGAGCTGACAACTCGCCTCCTTGCCACGCTTATTCCTCCACACTCAAAATTAAAGTTTTTTTACGCATCCCATCAGCAACACGGCCTTCTGAGAGCCCATCATTTCAGCAGCATTGGTTCAACACAAGCAAAAACTCTGCTTTTAACGTTCAGTATCTCAGTTTAAGACGTAGGCTTTCGCGACCAAATATCATCCATCATATAGGTTTTTTGGGGGTTAGATCACACCGGTGTGCTGTACTAGTGACGAATTCGCATGTTCTGTTTACGTGACAACCCTTACTAGTTGGCTGTGTCGGGTGGTGGCGGGTTTAACGACGCATTTATACGTTCAGCATCTTATCGGCCGGCCGGCAGGCTTGCTTGAAGACCTTAAAAGTGTCGATTATGCAACAACTTCTGGTTCTGGCAGAAGGAAGGAAGCGATGTCTATCGAGGGGGTGGGGAGGGGGGGACTGCTACATTCGGTGAGAACGGCACCCCCTTCACGATTGTTTATGCTTCTGAACGCGTGTATAGTTATGAATGTACGGTATACTAATGGGTGTGTACACGTACTATATATGTTAATGGGAATGTAAATATATCGTTTGGGGGCGGTAGTGGAGTGGTTAGGGCGGTAGCACAGTTCGATTCTCGCTAGTCGCCAGCGTCCTTGACGAAAATCTGAACCGGTCATGGACCTGCCCTCAAGTCAGGGGTGTCTCAACATCACCAATGGGGAGACAAAGGTGGCCGGGCGTAGTTCGAGCCACATCACCGCCCCCTTTCTTCGCCGTCTCGTGTGTTTGTGTGGCGTGTCGGCCTTAATAGGTGCTCGCTAACAGCACCCAAACCCCCCCAACAGTCTGTTGAGGCTCTACGTGGGATGGTTGTGCGGGGTGCGATTGGCCCTGCTCGCTGAGTCTTATCGGCTGTGCCCGGCCCCTTCCTGTGGTTTCCCAACCATTAGACCGGAATTTTGGGTCACACGAACCACCACCACTAACCACCAACCTCCTCCTCCTCGTCACAGCGCTCATTGCGACACCGCCTTCCTCGCCATTGGGGGGGGGGGGGTGCTGGCTCATTTGCCATTGGTGGTAATTGAGGGGGGGGGGGAGGAGTCTAAAGAGACGACTGGACATATGTAAAAAGAGCTTTATAGCTCATCGGGTTCCTACAGTGCGGTGTCAATATTTTGATTCTGACATTTTGTTCGGGAGAACGGGGACAAATTCCACTGTGTGCCTCCCACCGCCCCCACCACCGATGCCTTCAAATTAAACCGGAAATATTACATTTGATACCGTGACGTTGAAGCGTGCCCTCCCCCAAAGCTCGGGGCCCGAGGCGATCGCCTCGATTCACTGCAACCCCCCACTCCCACCGCGATCTCCTGCTCAAAATGAGCATTGGGGGTGCTCGTCTTCCGTTTACAGACCAGAAATCAACCAGTGGTGATTGTTTTATTTACCCCGGAGGTACGATGGGCTGAATCAACCTTCCGAACTGGGATTTCATCTCGTAACATTCCGAGCATCTAACGCTGACTCCCACGTGGCTTTTTAGTTTTTAGTTTTAGAAAACCCCTGCGGGATGACAGAAGGGTTATCGAGAAACGGCGGCGTTGTCGTGGCATCAGAGGAGGGCAGTAGTTATAGACGTCATTAGAGATGACAGATGAGACAGATGTGGTGAGAGCAGAGGCACCGGTGAGACACGTGTAGTCAGATGAGATGAGAGAGATCCAGGAGAGACCACTGTTGTGAGAGGAGAGAGATGTAGACAAGACACAGACTTGCACAAGGTGAGACAAGAGAGATACAGACAAGAAAGACATGGGAACCGATTAATAATATTTTTTTGTTAATTGCCAATGTTTATTGTCAACATTAGGATTTCAATTCGAGCTGGCGTTTGGGTTGGAAATCCACCGGCTTCTTTGCGCTGCGCGCGCTAACCGCAGCACCACCGCTCCAACATCACTCCACCACACACACACAGAGAGAGGCACAGTGCGGGGCTTTGTAAACGTCGCTGACAGTCTCTCGGTTTGAGTCGTGAAGCCGTGACTGCGCGCGGCCGCGGCTGCACAGTTGAACGCGGGCACTTGAACGAAGCCTGTCGACTTGACTGAGACGTAAGTTGACGTGCCTCGCACGGAGGCGCGGTGGGGAGGGATGGCACAGCGGTTCGATTCCCGGCCACGGCCAACGCCCGTGCACGATCCTGTCTTTCACCGGCTCGCACTGACCAGCCTGGTGAAGTATGGTCTAAATCTTGATTTGAAGCTTTCGTGACTAGCAGGAATCCATATTCTTGTGGTTATTTCTACCTACGTGACTTTACCGAAAGAACCAAAAGGTATGGTATAAATCCAGATTGGTATAAATCATGAGGCCACCCCCCCCGCCCCCCCCCCCCTTAATATAAAATGCATTGGGGAGGCTTTTCATACGTTTGTGGATTGGGAATGGTTGGAGTTAATTTTCGTGACGGTGAAGATGTAAAACGTTGTACGGGACCCTACGGGTACTCCTGGATTGGATCGGACGAGGGATTTGTTATCGGATGAGACGATGGTTCTTTATCGGACGAGACGATGGTTCGATATTGGACGAATCAAGGGTTCTATATCGATGTGCTCCTGGTTCTGTATTGGATACGGGGTCTATATCGGTTAAGACGGTGGCTTTATATAGGAAGGTTATATATTGGACGTCAAAGTGTATATATGTACTGTATTGTTAAATAGAATCAATGCGTATACATTGGAAGATTATTTTTGGCCGTGTCCACCCTGCCGTAGCTGGTGGACCGGGTATCAGTCTTACCACACGCATGCTGATTAAATCGACTACTTATTTTTTTTAACATTTACTGATGTCATAGGTTAATTGCTTTTCCGTTGTAGGTTTAATTTGTCGCGCGCCTGCTGTCCAGCGCTTTGGAGGCGAGGGGTTGATGGATCGCAAAGAGATTTGCGAAACTTCCAAACCCGCGAGGCACTGAGGTGGCCAGATGAGTTATGGGCAAGTACAGCAAGCGGGTTCGTGAACCGGTCTGTGCGGACCTGTGTGTGTGTATCACCCACACGAAAGCCTAAGTCATTCGTGGCATAGGCCAAACATCTCAGGGTATAGCAAGGACCCTCCTGAAAACTCGTCTCGAGACTCAGTGAGGCCTCTCCTGGACAAAGATTCCATTATTCATTATCATCATCAGCCTTGGTCAATCCACTGCTGGATTAAGGCACATCCCCCCCCCCACCCAAGCAGCCGCCATCTATCACGGTCTAAATGTAAAATAATAATTAGTCGATCATCCATCTGCTCTACACCAACACGAGCCGGTTTCATAGTGCCGTCTATCTCGGCGGAGGAGACCCTTCCTCCTCCTCTTCCTCCTCCTTCTTCGAACGCCAAGATAATAATAATGATTATAATTGTTGTAAGTTATCAGCTGCACCCGGGCGTCGTTGTTCTTGCAATCGCGATGGCACCTCGCGGGGAGCCGGTTTCCCGTCGCCACGGTGGGGCAATGAGAGTGGCGTGGTTTGGTGGAGGGTTGCCTTGGAGTAGAAATCCGCGGCGGCGTTGAAGAGAAGAAATCTGCGGAAGCTTGGGCGGGGCGGGGGCGGGGCCGGGGCCTCCCGCCCCCCCTCCCCCGTGGCATTAACGCGACGGGCGCGCGCGCATTCGAGTGCGCGCGCGCGCGCGCGACGCTCCTACGACTGTGCGAAAGCATTTATTTTTTATTTAATTTTTTTCCTATATCTTTTTTATATATATGAAAAACTCGTCATTTTGAAGGTAGAATTTGCGAGCGGCGCGAGAGTTGCGTTAAAGTCGAGCCTCGTGTTCGTGAATCTGTCGTTACGCAGCTGCGCGTGTGCTGTCGACGATATTAATAATAAAATGTTTTGTATGAGGCACGCTAGTTCCGTAATTTGACAGTGTTCGCTGACCATGTTTGCTTTGCGCGGGAGGCGAATTTCTCGAGCGTGTTTTCTCTCCCCTCTTATTATCGATATCTTCTTCGATATCACCGTATCGTCCGGATTATAGGACGCGCGTTATCGCCCCTGCCCTCCCCCCCCGCCAATTCGTTATATTAAAGCAAAGTTTGAGGGGAGTCACGGGAGCCGTGCGTCTTATACTCGGGTAGGCGTGCGTGACGGGTTTGTGTAACTTTACACACACGTCTTACCTTCGTCTTACTTCGCGGTGCGTCTTCTAATGATCGATTGCGACATCGGGGGAACAGAAACGTCGTTATCGGCGCGTCTAAAACAAACTCGATACATGCTTCTGAAGTGCGTGTTTTCACTAAGAAATTAAATTAGAACAAAAAAAATACGACCGAGGGTAAGGGAGGGGGGTGGGGGCATTCATTCAGCAGTGGATTGACCATGGCTGATGATTCGATTGTGATGTTTGTTGTTGTAAATGACCGCATTCCCTCCCAAAAAAAGAGGATCATTTACCATGACGAGCACAGGGGGAGTGGTGGGAGCGAATCACCTTCCATCAACACCGGAGCGAGGAGGTGGAGGTGGTGGTGGTGGTGATGGTGGAGCGAGATGCGACGATGGAGGAGGTGGGGGAGGAGGAGGTGATGGTGCCGACGAGGTGAGAGAGAGCGTGACAGAGGCGCTGAATTACCGCAGTGAGTTGCTCCAGCGTCTGCAACAGCTGCACCTCGCCAGCCAGCAGGTGCGTGCGTGTGCTCGAGGTGCACCTAGCCTGGCACGAGCGCCGCGTTGACGTCACCACCGTCGCTGAGTGGCGAATGTTGTTGTTGTTGATTGCGTGTACACGGATCCAGCGGGTTTCACCTTCTCGGTCTCATCAGCAGAGTCAGGCTTGTCAAACAAAATGCTGCTGGGTTTACCGGATGTTCTTGGCAAGAGCGCTAACCAATATAACAACAGTGTTCTTCACTAATCTCCATGGTGGGGGGAGGGTATTTTTTGTATCTATTAAGACGTCAATGTGAGGGGCCACCACACTTGTATCTCTCAAGACGTCAGTGTGAGGGGCCACCACACTTTTATCTCTCAAGACGTCAGTGTGAGGGGCCACCACACTTCTATCTCTTAAGACGTCAGTGTGAGGGGCCACCACACTTTTATCTCTTAAGATGTCAGTGTGAGGGGCCACCACACTTGTATCTCTCAAGACGTCAGTGTGAGGGGCCACCACACTTTTATCTCTCAAGACGTCAGTGTGAGGGGCCACCACACTTCTATCTCTTAAGACGTCAGTGTGAGGGGCCACCACACTTCTATCTCTTAAGACGTCAGTGTGAGGGGCCACCACACTTTTATCTCTCAAGACGTCAGTGTGAGGGGCCACCACACTTTTATCTCTCAAGACGTCAGTGTGAGGGGCCACCACACTTTTATCTCTCAAGACGTCAGTGTGAGGGGCCACCACACTTTTATCTCTCAAGACGTCAGGGTGAGGGGCCACCACACTTTTATCTCTTAAGACGTCAGTGTGAGGGGCCACCACACTTTTATCTCTCAAGACGTCAGTGTGAGTGGCCACCACACTTTTATCTCTCAAGACGTCAGTGTGAGGGGCCACCACACTTTTATCTCTCAAGACGTCAGTGTGAGGGGCCACCACACTTTTATCTCTCAAGACGTCAGTGTGAGGGGCCACGACATTTTTATCTCTCAAGACGTCAGTGTGAGGGGCCACGACACTTTTATCTCTCAAGACGTCAGTTTGAGGGGCCACCACACTTTTATTTCTTAAGACGTCAGTGTGAGGGGCCCCCACACTTTTATCTCTCAAGACGTCAGTGTGAGGGGCCACCACACTTTTGGCTCTCAAGACGTCAGTGTGAGGGGCCACCACACTTTTATCTCTCAAGACGTCAGTTTGAGGGGCCACCACACTTTTATCTCTTAAGACGTCAGTGTGAGGGGCCACGACACTTTTATCTCTCAAGATGTCAGTGTGAGGGGCCACGACACTTTTATCTCTCAAGACGTCAGTTTGAGGGGCCACCACACTTTTATCTCTTAAGACGTCAGTTTGAGGGGCCACCACACTTTTATCTCTTAAGACGTCAGTTTGAGGGGCCACCACACTTTTATCTCTTAAGACGTCAGTGTGAGGGGCCACGACATTTTTATCTCTCAAGACGTCAGTGTGAGGAGCCACCACACTTTTATCTCTCAAGATGTCAGTGTGAGGGGCCACGACACTTTTATCTCTCAAAACGTCAGTGTGAGGGTCCACCACACTTTTATCTCTTAAGACGTCAGTGTGAGGGGCCACCACACTTTTATCTCTTAAGACGTCAGTGTGAGGGGTTACCACAATTTTATCTCTCAAGACGTCAGTGTGAGGGGCCACCACACATTTATCTCTCAAGACGTCAGTGTGAGGGGCCACCACTTTGTATCTCTCAAGACGTCAGGGTGAGGGGCCACCACACTTTTATCTCTCAAGACGTCAGTGTGAGGGGCCACCACACTTTTATCTCTTAAGACGTCAGTGTGAGGGGCCACCACACTTTTATCTCTCAAGACGTCAGTGTGAGGGGCCACCACTTTGTATCTCTCAAGACGTCAGTGTGAGGGGCCACCACACTTTTATCTCTCAAGACGTCAGTGTGAGTGGCCACCACACTTTTATCTCTCAAGACGTCAGTGTGAGGGGCCACCACACTTTTATCTCTCAAGACGTCAGTGTGAGGGGCCACCACACTTCTGTCTCTTAAGACGTCAGTGTGAGGAGCCACCACACTTTTATCTCTCAAGACGTCAATGTGAGGGGCCACCACACTTTTATCTCTTAAGATGTCAGTGTGAGGGGCCACCACACTTTTATCTCTCAAGACGTCAGTGTGAGGGGCCACCACACTTTTATCTCTCAAGATGTCAATGTGAGGGGCCACCACACTTTTATCTCTCAAGATGTCAGTGTGAGGGGCCACCACACTTCTATCTCTTAAGACGTCAGTGTGAGGAGCCACCACACTTTTATCTCTCAAGATGTCAATGTGAGGGGCCACCACACTTTTATCTCTCAAGATGTCAGTGTGAGGGGCCACCACACTTCTATCTCTTAAGACGTCAGTGTGAGGAGCCACCACACTTTTATCTCTCAAGATGTCAGTGTGAGGGGCCATGACACTTTTATCTCTTAAGACGTCAGTGTGAGGGGCCACCACACTTTTATCTCTCAAGATGTCAGTGTGAGTGGCCACCACACTTCTATCTCTCAAGACGTCAGTGTGAGGGGCCACCACACTTTTATCTCTCAAGACGTCAGTGTGAGTGGCCACCACACATTTTAAACCATCGGGTTTCACAGCACTGTGGAGGTGTTTTCACATTCGTGTGTTGCCGGCGGCCCGCACTTCAGAGGCTTTACGAAATGGCCACCAGGGACCGCCAATGGCCCGTGTGACCTTTGCCCTGATGAACACTGGTACAACACAATCAACACAAACTCAACATGCGCCACCTCGGAGACACAGCGGGTCAAAGCGAACACGGTGTATATGGATGTCCGTCTCGCTTATGGTGCCACCACTGGAGTTATGCACTTTAAAATAATCTATATCGAAAGCTAATTTCTTTAAAACTGCTTCTTCTTGTGTTTAGTTTGGTGCCATCCCCCCCCCCCCCCCACCGATCAGCACGGTTGGCTACGTACGGTGATGCGAAAGAAACTCAACATGCCTACCCACCCACACCGCGCCATGCATACACGCGGCACGCAGGTGACTGTCAGCGGGGAGCGAACCCTGGCCGCGCTCGAGAGCCACTTTGCCGGGATCGAGGAGGCGGTGGCGGCGGCGGTGACGGCGCGCAGAGAGGCGCTGTGCGGTGCCGTGCGCGGCATGGTGAGCGACGCGTCGCTGCCGCTGCGAGAGTGCACGCAGCTCATCCGCCAGCGGGTGGACGCCGTCGAGGAACTGCTTGCAGAAGGTGGGGTCGGGGATGTGGCGGGGGGCGGGAGGACGGCGAGATGCACCGTGCCTCCGATTAGCGCGGTTGGCTACGTGCGGTGCAAAAGACGTCCAACGTACATACAGTGCATAGAAGCCAATCTATCGGATCAGTTGGCACGCGTTCAATTTGTGTTGCCGTCTTAGTTGTCCATATTCTTAGTTTTTTCGGTAAAGTCACGTTGAAGAGAAACAACAAAATAACAAAATATATATAAAACAATAAAAATTCTCACGACGTTTCGACCATAACTCAAACGACACACCTGATGATGACCGTTTGAGTTATGGTCGAAACGTCGTGAGAATTTTTATTGTTTTATATATATTTTGTTATTTTGTTGTTTCTCTTCAACGTGACTTTACCGAAAAAACTAAGAATATGAATTACTGCAGTCACGAAAGCTTTAAATCAAAATTTAAAAGTCTTAGTTGTCGTCAATGCCTCTGTTGCCATCGATGCGGTCATCGTCGGTGACGTCGCTCCCCCTCATCAGGTGAGGCGGCCCTGGCGTCGTCGGGCCCGGAGCAGGAGTCACTCCTCGCGAGCTTCACTCGGAGGTCCCTGCAGGTGCAGCTGGGCAGGTGAGGGTGGGGCAGCAGCAGCAGCAGCAGCAGCTCCTCCTGATGCAGGAATGAACTCGTCATCTTACCTGCCCTGTCCTTCCCTTCCTCTGCTCTAATTATGTCCCCTTGCACTCTCCCCATTGCCTAACCCCCTTGCCGTTTCCTCCATGCCCACCTCTACCTACTCTCTCTGTCCACCCCTCGCTCCCCCCGATTCCGTGCCTGTCCTTGCCCTCATGTGGCCATGCCGAACATTCTCCGCCCACCCTCCCCCTTCAATGCGGACACAATTCCATTGGTATCACGTGTCCCTACTCCAAGTACCATTCTCGGTAGTCCCAAGTTTGCGTGTTCCAAATTCCCCAAGTCCCTTTGTCCCATGCCCTCGGCTCTCTTTTTGTGTCCTGATGCTCGTCCCCGTGTTCCCACATACCATTCCCCATGTTTCGATTTAAAGCTTTCGTGACTGCAAGGATTCATCTTCTTTGGTTCTTTCGGTAAAGTCACGTAGAATGAGAATAAAATAATAAATTGATAAAATAAAATAACACAATAAAATTCTCACGACGTTTCGGCCACAACACAAGCGGCCTTCATCAGGTGAAGGGACGAGACTGTCTGGAGGACAGCGCTGGAGCGAACACAGCCAAGCTCAGACCGCGACCTTTAAGCTATTTCAATGCTAAATTATATGCTAATTCCTTTGTCAAGGCGCTCTGTTTCTTCTCACGCAGCTTAAAGGTCGTGGTCTGAGCTTGGCTGCGTTCGCTCCAGCGCTGTTCTCCAGACAGTCTCGTCCCTTCACCTGATGAAGGCCGCTTGTGTTGTGGCCGAAACGTCGTGATAATTTGATTGTGTTATTTTATCAATTTATTATTTTATTCTCATTCTACGTGACTTTACCGAAAGAACCAAAGAAGATTCCCCATGTTGCCATGACCCTGTACCCACATTTCCCACATCGTCATTCCTTTTTATTCCCATGCCCCAACATGCCCTTCTACCCCCTGTCTCCTCGCATATCATGCCACCATGTCCCGCCTATCCCATTTTCCTCGTATATTTCAAACTGAACTAAAACTGAACTATACTCTTTGGTTCTTTCGGTAAAGGCACGTAGGTATAAAAAAAAATAGATCACGACGTTTCCATCGCCACACAAGCAATCGTCCACCCACGTGACTTTACCGAAAGAACCAAAGAGTATGGATTCCTGCAGTCACGAAAGCTTCAAATCAAGATTAAAACTGAACATTTTTTTTACCGGGAAAGGCCCACTGATCTATATTGCTCTTTTTTCAGAAGCAACCTGGCCACAAATGATAAATCAGTGAAGTGGCTTCTCACGTAGAAATTTATAGCAGCCAAATACTCTTAAACGCGTGTCTTTAAATGTGGAGGGGACAAAAAAACAACATCTTGCCACCGCAGCACCCAATATCATACGCCCGTGCCCTTCATCCCGCGTCCCCCCTATGTCCCAGTGCCTCATGCCCACGTGTGCCCCACGCAGCCTCCCCGAGGTGCCGGCGCTGAGCGAGGTGGCGTGTGTGCGGGCCTCTCTGGACGGGTCGCTGGGCCCTCGGCTCAGCTCGGTGATCGCCGCTCACGGCCGCGTTGCTCCGCGCGCTCCCGTGCAGCTGGAGGAGATGAACGCGCGGCCTGCCGCCGTGCGTGTGCGGTGGTGCAAGGTGCGTGCGCGTGTTTCCGTAGAGAGAGTGGGAAGCGGTGGCGCTCCGAACTACTCGCCGTGAGGAGGAACAGGGGTTGGATCACCTGCCAAATTTTTCTTTGTGTATGCATACAGACTTCGCATAGCGACCCCCGTATGATGCTGATTCGTTATAGCGTGTTTTGTCTTGGAGACATTTCCCCCCCCCCCCAAATTTTTTTTCAGAATATCCATCTTTGTTTACATTCGCTCAGCCAATGAGAACGACGTGGTTGCGTGTGGGGAGCGGTGGTGCAGCGGTTAGCGCACAGCGCTATGAACCCGGCGACCCGAGGTCGATTCTCGCTCACGGCCAACACCTGTGACGGTTACCTGGGCTTCCTTCCCGAGGTCGACTCAAAATGAGTACCTGGTGGGATGTGTAAACATTGCCACTGGGAGAGACAAAGGCGGTTGGGTGTGATGCTGGCCAACTACCCCCCCCCCCCAGTACCTTACCGCCCTCCATAGGTGCTCACTAATAGCACTTTCCCCAAAGTATGTGTAGGCTTCTTTGGTTCTTTCGGTAAAGTCACGTAGAATGATAATAAAATAATAAATTGATAAAATAAAATAACACAATAATATTCTCACGACGTTTCGACCACAACACAAGCGGCCTTCATCAGGTGAAGGGGGCGAGACTGTCTGGTAGGACAGCGCTGGAGTGAAAGAGCCACGTTCAGATACGTGGCTTAAAGGCCGCTTGTGTTGTGGCCGAAACGTCGTGAGAATATTATTGTGTTATTTTATTTTATCAATTTATTATTTTATTATCATTCTACGTGACTTTACCGAAAGAACCAAAGAAGATGAATCATTGCAGTCACGAAAGCTTTAAATCGAAATATGTGTAGGCTGTACGGGGGATCTTTGTACGGGGGATCTTTGTCATGTCTGCCTGCCGCAGGTGGACGAGGAGTTCCCCGTGCAAGAGTACCTCCTCGAGTACTGCCGCGGTCGTACGGAGAACGTAGCGCAGATGACCAGGGTACGGGCTCCCTGCATCATCATCATCATCGACAGCATTGCCTTCATCGCCATTTGCAACATCCTCATTGAAGCCATCACCGACAGCACTGTTTTATTATTTTTTTTCATCGTCGTCGTCATAATTTAATCAGCAATATTATTTAAACAATAGAACGTTCACAATCATCACCACCATCATCATCGTTTTCACAGTTATCATTTTCATTAGAATCATTATCAGCTCTATATATGCAGAGTACTGTACAAGTAACAAATGTACAATGTGTTTACGTGTCTCATTAAGTGCTTGCTATCTATGTGTCCGTTGACGCCCTGGACATCCTTGCAAACGAGGTGTTGTTATCTCAAGGGATCGTCCAGATTAAATATTTCAAGTCGTTTTCATCGTGTATATTTTCACCATCCCTACCACACTTTAATTATCACCACCACCTCCACCATTATCATGACCACACCATCACCGTGTAAATAGTTTATTTCAGTAATCTGTACACCCCCCCCCCTTCCACCCTACTCCCCCACTCCCGTCTCCCCCCACCTTCCTCGTGGGCCCCACCAGGTGTACTGCGGCCCCGATACCGAGTTCACGGTGGCCCATCTGGAGCCGCACGCAGACTTCACGTTCCGCGTGGGGGCCCGCGAGGCAGGCCCCGAGGGCCCCATCGCCTGGAGCGTGCCCGTTACGACCAGCACCCCGCTCCCCGCGCACGGTCCGTGCCTCCGTCAGTTTTGACCACCCCGTGCGTCAATGACACACCTTGATGGTGACGCGCATGATGGTGTGACGCACTTCGTGAGGTCGCACTCGTTGCACACAAAGCGCTCGCCACAAATGAATCGCAACACCTCGCTGATCTCGTCGAGGAGCATGAACCATCGTCACGTGAACTCCGGTCGTCCTCGCCACGGCGGCCACTGGTGAACCGACGAACAGAGAAGGTCGCCGCATCGCCCGCTTTCGAGATGAGCTTCTGAGGCCGTCTGGAACGCTCTTCCTTCCGATATTAGGAAGCCACTGGAGTTATGCACTTTTAAATCATCACCTCGATTGAACACTCATTTCTTTAGAACGGCTGCTTGAGTTTAGTTTGTTGTCTGTTCCCTCGCACCTCCAATTAGCACGGTTGGCTACGTACGGTGCGAAAAAAGTTCAGCATACGTGCTTAAATACCTGATGGTGGAACATCTGTTCACGAAGTATCTGTCATCAGTTACATGCCTGTTGATAACACACCTGTTCGTAACACAAGTTACTGACGCACCTGTAGTGAAACACCTGTTCGTAACACACGTGCTAGTGTTACGTCTGAATTACACGACTGTTGACGACACCCCTTGCTGTCGTTGGCGATTGACAGAATGGAGGCCGGACCACGCGGGGTTTGCGCTGAGCGCGCAGAGGGACGTGGCGACGCGGGGCTCGGGGCCAGGGATCACAGCCCTTTACTCGAGTCGACCCAGCCTTGCCCTCGGTCACTCCGTGAGCTTCAGGTGAGGCCCCCCCCCCCCCCACTCCCCTGTCGTGCCATCACCGAGGAACGCCGCGAAGGGTTGGTGGATCGCGTGCCGCGTCACAACTATATTATTATGCAGATGAGTAAAGGACGTGACAATAATGGATTGACAAGACCCATCTCTGGGGGGATCTCTAGGCAATAGACTGACAGACCGATCTCTTATGGGGTCACTTGGCAATAGACTGACAGACCAGTCTCTGATGGCGTCACTTGGCAATAGACTGACAGACCAGTCTCTGATGGCGTCACTTGGCAATAGACTGACAGACCAGTCTCTGATGGCGTCACTTGGCAATAGACTGACAGACCAGTCTCTGATGGCGTCACTTGGCAATAGACTGACAGACCGATCTCTTATGGGGTCACTTGGTAATAGACTCACACACCGGTCTCTGAAGAGGTCTCTAAGTAAGAGACTGACAGACCGGTCTCTGAAAGGGTCTCAGACTGGTCTCTTGATGGGGTAACTAGACAATAATTGAATGGCAGACCGGTCTATAATGGGGTCTCTGAGCACTAGACTGACAGGCTATAAACTGTACCCGCCCCCCCCCCCCCCCCCCCACTGCTCCCCGTCCTCAGGGTTGAGCGGGTGGGCCCTCTTGGGTGGGATGACACCATTGGGCTCTGCGTGGAGCCCCGAGCCGACGCCAAGTCCCTCCGTTGGAACGGCGCCCTCTGCATCGCCTCCAACGGTGCGTCACACCGCATTACTCCTGTCCAGTTACACCCACCTAATGGTAATGATGGTGGTGGTGGTGGCGGTGATGACAGTGATGATGGTGATGATGGTGATGATATTGATGGTGGTGATGGTGATGATAATGAATGTTGCCAGTGATGACAATAATGGTAATATTATACTAATGACGATAATAAGGATGACGACGACAGTGGTCGTGGCGATAATGATGATAACAGTGGTCATGATTTTTATGGTGACAGTGGTAGCGGCGATTCGAACGATCGTGATGATGGTGCCGATGGCGGTGATGGTGTTGCCCGTGTCGGCGGCGGCAGCAATGACTGCGGTGGTGGCAATGCCGACGCTCCGCGTAAACAACAACGCCCATCCCGCCAGGTGCCGTGTTCGTGAACGGCAAGGAGATGACCAACCAGCTGCCCTCTCTGGCCGTCGGCATGACGGTCACCTTCGGCACCGAGGGCCCGGAGCCCGGCTCCCCCGTGGTGCCTCCGGGGCCTCTGGGGCTGCCGGCAACTCTCCGCGGAGCGCCGCACAGGCTGCGCGTGAGCGTGGCGTGCGCCGAGCGGGAGGTGGTGTCCGAATGGCTGCTGGAGCAGGCCTGGGAGGTCCTCTACTTCGGCTGCTCCTTCACCCACCCCGGGTGGAGCGTCCTGGTCTTCTGAGCGGAAGCCCCAGCGTTGCTGCCGGCCTCTCGCCGGGGCAGGACGGAGCGCTGTGGCGGGGCCCACGATATATAACGATCAAATTCGTCGTTTGAAGGCGAGTGTCACGTTCGTGATGCCCGCAGCTCGTTGTGTGCGGGAGATCTAATTAATGCATGAATTTTCAACGGACGGGAGCGGTGGTGCAGCAGTTTGCTCGCTGCGCTACGAACCCGGCTACCCGAGTTCGATTCCCGCTCGCGGCCAACACCGGTGACGATTATCTGAACCGGTTCTTGGCCTCGCCACGGTTGACTCATCATCAATTGAGTACCTGGTGCGATATGTTAACATTTGTTAGTCGGGAGTCAATGGCACACACGAATACACACACACGTTTACGCTATGTGTATTTGTGTGTTTCAATGGGTTATTTAGATTCATTCAAATAATTTGCAGTAGAAAATGTTTAGGCTAAAAGCGCGTCACGTTGGACGTGTTTAACGATCATCGAGTGAGCGCGTGCGGCACGGAACAAGTCAATTTGAATTGGGAGGAGTAAGTTGGTAAACGTGGAAGGACGCGTGGCATGGGGGTGGTGGTAGCTCGCGAGGAATGGAGTCCTGGCGTGTGTACAGTTGTCCGCGCTCCTCGCTGAGGTGGAGGAGGGAACTGTAGTGAAGAGCCAGGGCATGGCACCTCGATCCCTGTGAGTTGTCCTTCCCCCGCACCTCCGATTAGCATGGTTGGCTACGTACGGCGTGAAAGAAGTTCAACACGCATGCAAGCGAGAGGGAACGAGGGGGAAATACGCCAAAACAAGTGACACAACTTGTTTCCAGAGGCTCCTGCTCACAGCTGGAGTATTCTAGGTGCCTGTGGGTCATTGTTAATAAAATTCAGTTCAAGTATCTCCATTGCTGTGGACATTATTTCGGTGGGGTTTCCGAGACTCGAAACTAACCGACTGTTGTTGTCCTCTATGAAGTGCTTCATCTGCACGGGACAATTTCCTAGATCTCCCTTGCATAGGAGACATCAGGCCTCAGCTGTCTCTCACCTGTGTCCAGCAATGAAGTTAGACTGCAACGGACGACGTGACCGAGCGGTCGCGGGTTCATTGCTCATTGCAGAGGTCAGGGATTCGAGCCCAGCTGCCACTGGTTAATATTGTGGGTGTATTGATGGTTAATACCGTCGGTGTATTGATGGTTAATACTGTGGGTGTATTGATGGTTAATACCGTGGGTGTATTGATGGTTAATACCGTGGGTGTATTGATGGTTAATACTGTGGGTGTATTGATGGTTAATACCGTGGGTGTATTGATGGTTAATACTGTGGGTGTATTGATGGTTAATACTGTGGGTGTATTGATGGTTAATCCTGTGGGTGTATTGATGGTTAATACCGTGGGTGTATTGATGGTTAATACTTTGGGTGTATTGATGGTTAATGCTGTGGGTGTATTGATGGTTAATACTTTGGGTGTATTGATGGTTAATACTGTGGGTGTATTGATGGTTAATACTGTGGGTGTATTGATGGTTAATACTGTGGGTGTATTGATGGTTAATACTGTGGGTGTATTGATGGTTGATACTGTGGGTGTATTGATGGTTGATACTGTGGGTGTATTGATGATAGCATTGCGTGGGCCATCTATTTCACAGTGGGTGTTCAAGATTATGTGATGTTATATATAAATATATTTTAAACGAGGAGGCCAATGTGTGCCACTCTTACGGTCCAAATAAAAAAAAATCCTAAAATCACTTAAATTGGTAACAACACAGCAAGATCACCCGCCTGTTGACAGACTCTACTCCTCTGCAAAACAGCGAATGGTGTGAATACTAAATTGTTATAATAAGTCATCATTAGACCTCCTTTGCCAGTACCAAAATATAAGAATAGGGTGTTTCCCCTTTTTTCTGGCAACAAAACTGAAATCTTTTTACGAGGATTCGTGTCTGGATTAACCACAATACCTGCAGTCAAAATGCAAAAGGCGTCATCTGGTCGAGCACCAATTGGGTCGAGGCTCAAAAGAAAGCCGTCCCTTGGTGTGGACCAATCAGTTTCAAGGACAATGCATCATATATTATCATAGTATGTTTCTTGTTTGCATTTTGACTGCAGGTATTGTGGTTAATGCAGACATGAATCCTCGTAAAAAGGTTTCAGTTTTGTTGCCGGATAAAAAGGGGAAACACCCTATTCGTGTTATAATAAGTGTTACCTTTATATATGTGTGTGTGTATCCGTCATCTAAAGAGCCTGCTTCATCTCCCTGGGGTGGCGCTCTATTTACATCGGCTGAGCCAACCCCCAACGGGGATTTGAACTTTCTGCTTGCCGATTATCGCGAACTGCTCGCTTCACCGCTGAGCCACCTGGATGGTGGATTGCCAGCAGCATGATTAACCGGTCAGGTGTGTAATTTGTCACCAGTGCAATGAATTAGTTTGTACTTACACAACTTTCACGTAATTGTATACATTAATTCGATTATCATCTGATTAATGCATACTGTATATACATTAATTCAAATGTATATATGCATTAATTAAAATGTATATACATTAATTGGAAGAAAAACGTTGGTATAGTCCAACAATTGTTGTCCAACAATTGTTGGACTATACCAACGATTTTGTTCCAATACAATTGATAAAGATATCCAGTTGTGGGTGACTGATGGTTTCTTCTTGACACTGACGAACAAACTTTGTATGCATGTTGAACTTCTTTCACACTGTACAAAACCAACCGCGCTAATCAGAGGTGCCGGGGAAGGACAGCAAACTAAACACAAAAAGCAGTTCTTCCGTGCCTTGATCGACGGATTTGCCGCTGCGAGCGGTAAGGCTGTGAGAAGCCGTGCTACGCAGCAGCTCCACGCTGCAGTCATGCGAGATCCGTTACACTCTGAGATGCCCTTACATGGACCCGTTTGAAAAGTCATCTGCACTTGCTTTTCTGTTAAACATAACTCTGTCGTGAAGTGTAATACAGCCACAAGGATTCTCTGCTCACGCTTATTTTAAGACACTGCGGTCAGTTGCATATTATTTTTTATTGTATTCATAGCAGCATTTTTGCGATGATTTACATTTGATTGGCATGTCCAGTGTTGGGCAGCATCACGAAAACCATCCTATTCGAGCACGCAACTTTCTGACAATTTTCAAAAAGGTTGTATCAAACCGCAGTCAATAAGCGCAAGGGGATTATTTGCTTAGCACAAACTGCGGGCGCACACTCTTCGACTTAATGGCAAGGGAGCGGAGTTAATAGGCAGACTTGAGATGGATGCAGATGCTGCTCAGAAGCTTCTCCCAGCCGGACTTGCCCTCGGCTGACAGGCCACCGTTGGCATCGTCCACTTGCTCCAGGATGGTGGCAGACAGCACCTGAGCGGAATAAATCATTTTGGATGACTTAGAATGTCAACGTGGAGCCTCAGGCGAGACCTTGGCGTCACATGCAATGGTGAGTCTTTTTTTTTTGTCGGTGAGGTTTCTGCATCGGTATGTTTGGCCAGTGACATAAAATCACTCTTTGGCTTTACATACAAAATGTAGATGCAAGAGTTTCATTCGCGCTAGAGCAGCGTTCTTCACTCATTTTCAGATGGGGGCCACTTTCGCCGATAAGACATCATCAGTCTGAGGGCCGCCACACCGCCTGCAAGGGGCGATTTCACATTTGTGTATTGTTGGGGGCATCACGTCATGGGCCACACTGAATACCACTAGATGCCTCCAATGGCCCACGGGCCCTGCAATGAAAGAACACCGCACTAGAGCCATCTTCTGCCTATCTTAGAGCCCAAGCGTGCAACACCTGACATTCCCAGCAAATCTATTCAAGTACTAACCAGTCTCAACACACCCTGCTTAGCTTCCAAGATCTGACGAGATGAGGGAGGGGGTTGCGGTGCCACGTACCTTGAAGTACTGGGAGTCAACGTGGAACTCGTAGGCGTGCTTCTGGCTCAGGGCCTTGAGCTTCAGGCTCTGCTTCTCGGGGTCGTCCAGGGCCACCACGGAGTCGTTGACGGCGTTGATGATCCTTTCGGCGTGCCAGCGCACGGCGGGAGACTTGCTCAGCTTGTCGGCCGAGTCGAGCCCCTTGAACTTGGGGAAGAAGTCCTGCACGCCGGGGTTGGACGTGAAGAACCTGGTGATGGTAAGGAGGGTGTGGTGGGTGGATAGGGGAGGAGGGGGCACAGAAAGGTTGGTGAAGGAGTTAAAACTACATTTGGAATTGCAACATCATGAATGATTTCTGGAAGCAGAAGAAGAAACAACTCACCACATTGAACATTACATAGGTTGTAAAAATTTTAAATTTGTACTGTCTTGATCTTTAGAAATTAATACGGATCCAAAAACGTCTTCAAAAGTTTGCAATATGCCGGGTTCTTGCGTGAGAAATAAAGATTTATTCATAATTACGATTTTAAATGAGAATGATAAAGTTCCCCTCTGCAAGGTACTCAAAGCAATGTACATCGCACGAATATATTGATCGATTGCCAAACAAGTACAAATCACGTATTGGAGCTAATTGAGAGACCTCCAGCTTGACATCACGTGGATTTCAACTTCAATCTTGGAGCTCCTGCTTGAGGAATGATGTTGGTGGTTTTTTTATTCTCCCAAGTAGAACAAAAGAAAAATCTCTCGATGCTTGGATTTTGTAATCATGTAATTGACAATGTAAAAAAACACGTATACCAATATTCATATTCTTGGTTCTTTCGGTAAAGTCACGTAGAAGGGAAACAATAAAATAATAAAAATATAAAACAACAAAATTCTGAAGACGTTTCGACTGCAACACAAGCAATCATCATCAGGTGTGAAAACCACAGCAAGAAAATTTGAAAAAAATGGCGTTTTTTTAACGTTAGCACCACGGAGAGCGATTTGGCAGTTATTCAGATGGACGAGTCCATCTATGTTCGGAAAAGAGGAGGGGGGAGACGAAAATAATGTATGCGGTCTGAAAGCCACCATAAGCGTGAACAATCAATTAAGACCCGAAATGGGTTATCAAATCCTTCCAATGATTGCTAAGCCAGAATTCATCTTCTCGGTTGAAATTGTCTCTGTGTTTGTATATGTGGATAGCCTCATGAACGAAACTTTCATGGTAGACAGATGGAATGCAAAGACATTGACTTCTCCAAGCCATCTGGCTACCATGAAAGATTCGTTCATGAGGCTATCCACATATACAAACACAGAGACAATTTCAACCGAGAAGATGGATTCTGGCTTAGCAATCATTGAAAGGATTTGATAAACCATTTCGGCTCTTAATTGATTGTTCACGCTTACGGTGGCTTTAGACCGCATACATTATTTTCGTCTCCCCCCTCCTCTTGTCCGAACATAAATGGACTCGTCCATCTGAATAACTGCCAAATCGCTCTCCGTGGTGCTAACGTTAAAAAACCGCCACTTTTTTTCAAATGTTCTTGCTGTGGTTTTCACACCTGATGATGATTGCTTGTGTTGCAGTCGAAGCGTCGTGAGAATTTTGTTGTTTAATATTTTTATTATTTTATTGTTTCCCTTCTATGTGACTTTACCGAGAGAACCGAGAAAATGAATCCCTGCAGTCACGAAAGCTTTAAATCAAAACGTATACCAATGATAGGAAACAGGGGAGGCATGCATCTTTCATCATTGGCAAAATAAAATAGCGTTAAGCTCAATTGCCAAGTCATCAGCCATTTGGACAAATGTGTCCAGTGGCGTTTGTTTAAGCAATGGGACACCTATGGATGAAAACGTTTCCACCTCTCTGAGCCCCTTGAACAGCGCTGTTAATTTAGTTTAACACGTAGGCTTTCGCGACAAGTATTATACATAATGAAGGTTTTTTTTTTAGGTTAGATCGCGCAAATATAAACGTGTCGTTAACTCGCCACCACCCGACACAGGCGCAATCAGTAAGGTTTGTCACGTAAATAAAACGCGTCAATTAGTTACTACTTCAGCACTACGTCAGCACACCGGTGTGTTGGAGAGTAAACCCACGACATTTAGCGCTGTTAACCCCACACGTTCCACAACAAACACGCGCGCACACATCGCTCACTTGATGAGAACGGCCTTGCCCGCAGCCTCGTAGTTGGCGTAGACTGCCTTCCAGCTGCCAGCGACCGCAGCCTTCTCAGAGGCAGAGAGGGCCCCAACGCTTCCAGAGTCGACGATAGGCATGGTGAGTGGTTGGCGGTGGAGGCTCTGAGAAGAGACGCGAGAGAACCGAAGGTGGCTTTGGGTGGCACCGGAGCTGTGGAAGTGGCGAGGGGCCCCACTTAAATACCTGAACGCGACCGCGTTGCTCAACCGCGGTTGAGCAATGTTGAGGCATCTGCAGCGGTTCATCTCACGCAGCTGCAGAAAAAAACTGTGTGCTGCACCATTTTTCGTGAATGGTGATTAGGAAAGGCTGATCGATACAGATTCCTTGATAAATGATGCTGGCTCAATCGTGGTTGGGGGTTGTGGGGGGGGTCAAAGTATCTAAGTGTGGCTTTAGCACAACACTGTTGGCGAAACATCTGCCATGAAAAATTTAATTTGGCAAAAGTCCCAAAGCCTGCCCAGTGAAATATATTTTTTGGCGGGATTAGGGAAGGTCTTCTCTTTATGAGGTGTACTGAGGAGATGGGAGCAAGAGCATGTTCAAAGTATGGAAAAGGCATAATTGAGTAATTATGCTCTCACACGTTCAAAGAATGGAAACAAATCAAAGGCACAGAGGTCATTTATCCTTAAATATGACGATTTCGTGACGTTTATGCGGGGCCTGACACGTGTTCCGCAAGCGTGTTGACGCGTCTGCTCCGTTGGTATATGAAACAGAAATAACTGCTTTGAAGCTTTCGTGACTGCAGGAATCCATACTCTTTGGTTCTTTCGGTAAAGCCACGTAGTTAGAAAAATAATGAGATCACGACGTTTCGATCGCACCGCAAGCAATCAGGTGGGACAACCACAGCAAGAAGAAAAAAAAACCCTGCTGTTTTGCTGTTTTTTTTCTAGAGTATAAAAAAATAACGGAGGTCCGTTCGGCCGTTTCCACGAGGCAAGGAGTTTGAAGTATCGGAACCCAATGCCACGGCGTTGCGGCTTCCGCGTGAATCCGCGTTCGTCGGCAATTTGGCAAGCGGCCAACACGATAGGATCCAACGATGTGTTTACAAACACCGCCGCGAAAGTACCACCGCGCGTTTGCGCAATCGGCGAATCGAACCCGGTAGGCGCTTTTCCGCGCTCGTCGCTAAACGAAACTACTCATCGGTGCCGCCGATCAAGTGTCCTCGATAGAACGCAAATGGGAATAACAAAAAACGGAGCATTGGTGAAGAATATTTTTTTTTAAATTAGGAATGGGCACCAGCACAGGAGGCGTTCGAGATGTTCAAACGCCAAATTGACGCGCCTATTGCAAGGCACCACGTGCGCATTTCACCACACACACACACTTTACAGGGCTCGTGGAAATGTTGTTCTGGAAGAGTGATTTGGCAGTTTTTGCGTGCGACGCTTAACACGAAGCACTCCTCTGGGCTGTTCACACGCACGCCACGAGGTGTCAGATTCTTATAACTCTCATTCGACTGGCGGCAGTGTTTTGCACGTGCGTGATATTTGCGGGTTTTTTTGTTGCTGCTGCTGCTGCATTGGCCGGGAATCCAACCTCACACGAACCCCGTCAGTGCTACTTCGAGGATAGGCGATTCGTACAAAATAAAAAGTGACGATAGAAAAGCGGTAAAGGTGATGCCTGAAACTGCTTGCTCGTGGCACTGCTGGTGGAAGGATTTTCCACCGTACGTAGCCAACCTGATTAGCGCGGTTGGCTACGTACGGTGCGAAAGAAGTTCAACACACGTACACACATTAGAACAGCGGTGCTTAACTTTTACTGCAGCCTTGGTTCTCAATCGTAAAAAAGTACAATGTTAATAACTACACAGGGTTTTTTTTAATGAAACAAAGTAGTTGTACTTACGTGTCCGTGCTTAATTTGTGTTTCGATGATTTACCTTCTAAAACAGGGGTCGGGAACCTATGGCTCGCGAGCCAGATGTGGCTCTTTTGATAATTGCATATGGCTCGCAGATAAAACAAAATATTCTCACTTGTTTTAATCCATCCATCGATTTTTCACTGCACATGTCCTGTTCAGGGCTGCAGGAGCAATTGTCCATTATTTTAATTGGATGATACTGGCCTACGTTTGCCGTTGCTGGGTAAAACAGGTAAACGCCCCCTTTTGAATCAGTCTGAGACTGCGTCTGCTCGGTCATTAGCTCAAAGCTAACCCTTCGACGAAGAAGATGGCGAAAAGAAAAAAAGACGACGAGTATCGTACATTTCAGGACGAATGGACCGAAGAATTCGCCTTTGTGGAGAGAGCGGGTTCTGCGGTGTGTCTAATTTGCAATGACAAAATTACATCGTTGAAACGGTCGAATGTAAAGCGGCACTTCGACACGCGCCACGCTACCTTTGCATCAAAATACCCTGCGGGAGACAGCAGAAAGAAAGCGTGCCAAGAGCTTCTGAGCAGGGTGCAAGCTAGCCAGCAGCAACTCCGCGTATGGACCCGGCAAGGTGACTATAATTCGGCTAGCTTTGCTGGTTCTTTAGCAATAGTGAGGAATGGAAAACCATTCACAGATGGCGAGTATGCTAAAACGTTCATGCTGGATGTAGCCAATGAACTTTTTGATGATCTTCCGAACAAAGACAAGATAATCAAACGGATACAAGACATGCCTCTGTCGGCAAGAACTGTTCATGATCGTACCATCGTGATGGCAAACAAAGTGGAGGAAACGCAAGTGAAGGACATAAATGCAGCGCCGTTCTTTTCTCTGGCTTTGGATGAGTCAACAGACGTGAGCCATTTGTCGCAGTTCAGCGTGATTGCAAGATATGCTGTTGGTGACACACTGCGCGAAGAAAGTCTTGCTGTTCTGCCATTAAAAGGGTCCACAAGAGGTGAGGATTTATTCAAGTCTTTCATGGAGTTTGCTCAAGAAAAAAGTCTACCTATGGATAAACTTCTCTCAGTGTGTACTGATGGTGCTCCGTGTATGGTGGGGAAAAACAAAGGATTTGTGGCGCTTCTCCGTGAACATGAAAATAGACCCATCCTAAGTTTCCATTGTATTACACACCAGGAGGCACTTCGTGCTCAGATGTGTGACAGGCAGTTTGGCGAAGTGATGTCGCTGGTCATTCGTGTGATCAACTTTATTGTTGCCCGAGCCTTACATGATCGCCAGTTTAAAACACTGCTGGATGAAGTTGTAAATAACTATCCTGGTCTGCTTTTGCACAGCAATGTGCGTTGGTTGTCAAGAGGGAAGGTGCTTAGCCGTTTTGCGGCTTGCCTGAACGAAATCCGGACTTTCCTTGAAATGAAAGGCGTCGGGCATCCTGAGCTAGCCGACACCGAGTGGTTCCTCAAGTTTTACTATCTCGTAGATCTGACTGAACATCTGAACCAGCTCAACGTGAAAATGCAAGGCATTGGAAATACAGTGTTATCCCTTCAACAAGCTGTATTTGCTTTTGAAAACAAGCTGGAGCTTTTCATCACGGATCTTGAAACAGGTCGTTTACTACATTTTGAAAAACTGAGCCAATTTAAAGATGCATGCACAGCAAGTGAGCCCATTCAAAACCTTGATCTCCACCAGCTAGCTGGCTGCACATCCAGTCTCCTACAGTCCTTCAAAGCACGCTTTGGAGAATTTCGTGAGCACACTCGTCTTTTTAAGTTCATCACCCATCCAAACGAGTGTTCACTGAACACAGCCGACCTGAATTACATCCCTGGTGTCTCCGTCAGAGATTTTGAAGCAGAAGTGGCTGACCTGAAGGCCTCAGACATGTGGGTGAATAAGTTCAAGTCACTGAATGAAGATTTGGAAAGAATCACACGACAGAAAGCGGAGTTGGCGAGCAAGCACATGTGGACAGAAATGAAAAAACTCCAACCCGAAGACCAGCTGATTCTCAAAACTTGGAACGCGCTTCCTGTCACATACCACACACTGCAGCGTGTGAGTATTGCTGTATTGACCATGTTTGGATCTACGTATGCATGTGAGCAGTCATTCTCACATCTTAAAAACATCAAGTCCAACCTACGATCACGTTTAACGGATGAAAGCCTCAACGCTTGCATGAAGCTTAACCTCACCAAGTACCAACCCGACTACAAAGACATCAGCAAATCCATGCAGCACCAGAAGTCGCATTAATGGTGAGTGTTATAACAACAGTATTTAAAAGAATAAATTCAGAGGCTTATTATACTGACATTTAGTTGAATTCACTTTTAAAATATATTATATGGCTCTCACTGAAATAAATTTCCAAATTTTTTGCTTTCATGGCTCTCTTAGTCAAAAAGGTTCCCGACCCCTGTTCTAAAACAAATCTGACCGTGTCTCGCTAACGCCCAGAAACGGCATCTCGCACCCCCAGGGGGTGGCGTGCCATCCCAGGTTAAGAAGAACCACTGGGTTATAGGTAGATCAAGAGACCACCAGCACCGCTCCTCCTCTAGAGCAGTGAGTGGTTCGCAACCTTTCCTGGTTGCATTTTGTTTCAACCGAGTTGCACAACCCCGCTTGCCTGGCCCGACATGGGCTCTGAGAAATAAACGTACGAATAATGAACGTGAATATTTTAACCAATTGCCCATTCTGTGAGGTATCCCTAACCGGCTAAGTAACTGCAAGCGAATATTAAAAAAAGAAATCGATCGGACGCTCTGCACGCGTGACGTCATTTGCTTGTTGGTGACTTTTGCAAGCCACATTGTTTACGATCGAGGGGTTCACAAAGGACGTTTACATCGTTCCTCGGTTAACATACGGATTAAAATTTTATCGTCGTTATTTTAAATCGGCAGATTCATACGTGAGTATACACCAATGACTCTCATGTATGACATTATTTCACACACTTATAAATCTCGTCAGTGTGTCGTCTTGGCGTGGTCTGGGAATGTTTTGTTTACTCTTTGGTTCTATTCGGTAAAGTCACGTAGGTAAAAAATAAAACAACAAAAATCACGACGTTTCGGCCACAACACAAGCGGCCTTCATCAGGTGAAGGAATCAGGCTCTCTCGAGGACAGCGCTGGAGTGAAACACAGCCACGCTCAGACCGCGACCTTTAAGCTGTGTGCGAGGAAACAAGGTGCCTTGACAAAGGAATTAGCATAAAAATTAGCATTTGATTGGCCGACTTAGCATAGAGGTGGTGTACATTTAAATCTA